TCCCCGTGAGGTAAGCCTAGAAGATTACCTACGCGCTCTCAGATTTTCCCTGACTAGACCCCCCTTGCTCTGGGCACACTTGCCAAGGCTTTGCTGTACCACTGGACAACTGGACCAGTCGTATCCCACACGCTGGACACCAATCAATGTGACAACCCCAGACCTACTGGGATATATCACAGTTTCACTAAGCTGCCACCAACCATTCCCTGTAAGGAGTCACACAGACCAGGAATGGATTTTTAACAAATAAAGGAATAAGGTTTATTTAAATAACACACAGGGAAAATAAAATGATCAAGTGAATAAGATACAGTAACGTGGCTTAGTCTCAATCATACATACACCAGTTTGGTTCACACAGAACACCTTTAAATAAAGCACAGACCCTGAACCTATCAGTTCTGGCTAACCATACAGACACCTGAACCTATCAGGTTGGTACTGACTGACACACAGTAGTACCCTGTCTGACACACAGACTCCCACACCAGCTTCTTCTCTCAGCTCTCCTTCAGCTTTCCCTCCACACAGGCTTCACATATATATACAGTACAGCCCCTCCTCCTGATGTCCCGCCTTCCACTCCCCATAGGATGGAACTTTCCCTCCAACCCATGACAGACAGGTAACATCAGTGCTGTATGTAACAATGGTCATCATCAGAGATCCTACCCCCGGTATCCCTGCCAAATGGCTAAAAGGATGGTTATAAGAGAGATGACTGGTCTAGTACCTACATTATTGTCTCTTGAACACCAGGTGAAATCCTGCTTTAAGAACTGCTTTTAGTGCTTGCAGATCTTAGTAGACAGTAGAAACAAATGAAGATATGAAATCAAAGTAAAACCCACAATAAAATAGAAAAATCCTAAGGTTTATTCATTTATTTGATTGACATGCTGCCCCTTTAGTGCAAGCATTATTCAGATTGAAATTTAAAACCTTGTGGAGTTTTACCACTCAGAGTAGTGCTAGACCCAAGGAGGCATATATGAATCAAATAAATAAATAAATATTGCATTTTTCTATTTTGTTGCTGGTTTTATTTTGATTTTATATCTTTCCCTGTTTTCGCTGTCATCTGCTGCTTTTATTGTAGTAGTATAATGTGTTATGTGTAGACATGTTTCATAGTTTGTATTTTATATATTTTCCAAATATGCACCATCCAGAGAGTTATGGACATTATTAGCCTAAAAGTGCAATACAATACATAAATATATGCCCACACTCCCTCACCCCAGAAATCAAACTTTTACATTCATAGTCTAGAAACAGAGTCATCTTTTCCCCACTCCCATTTAGACAACAGTTTCTTTCTCCTTTGTGCATTTACAGGTATTAGGGCTGCTGGTATGGACACTGATTGCTGGAACAAAATATTTCCTGTATCCTGTCTTTGGATGGGTGATGTTCGTGGCTGTGTTTTATTGGGTTCTTACTCTCTTCTTTTTAATCATCTACATGACAATGACATACACTAGGATTCCCCAAGTGCCATGGACCACAGTGGTGAGTATTCCAGCTTGCATCTATGTTACTTTTTGAAAAAATATTCTGAAAACTCATAGGTGTCTGATGACTGGAGCAGTTCCTCCTTTGAGATTTTGGCATGATGTTCTATCTACAAACTTCTTTGCTGATAACAGCAATTTGTTGTAAAGTTGAGACATCTCCAAAGAGTGTACCAAGCTTTATCTCCACTTCAATAGAAGATACTATCATAAAACTTAAGGCCAAGCCAACTCAGCTACATCTCCTTACTTTCTATTCCACTGGTTTTAAAATCAGAAAGCCAAAAAGAGTAGATATTACTGCCATCCCAAAGCATGGATTATCTCAAGAGTCCTTTTTTCTCAAGCAGTTTCAGTGTATTTTCACATCATCCTTCTGCTCACAGATAAAAGATATATTAGAAAGGTTGTTCTGTGGACAACTAGTTTCAATTAACTCTAAAAATCTTTCTTGAATTTTTGACCTGGTGGGAGAAAGGAATGATCACATTCCATTTAGGAATTGTGCCACCCCATATCTGGCATGTCTACATTGTCCTGGACTTACAACAGGCAGGGGAGGAAGCTGATTGCTATTCATGTAAGGAAGAGAAATGTGAACTCATGAAAAGAAAGGGAAATGTGAATTAAGTCCTCTCAAGTTCCCAGTGATCTGCAAAGAGATGGTGATACTTCATACCCTACTGAGCTTGACTCTGAAGCATAAACGCTTAATGTCATTTTAATTATAACACTAAGGTGCCGTTTAGGGTATCAGGAAAAGGTTATACCTGAAGGCTGTGGGTACAACACTTCCAAGTTTTACCTTAAATAACAAACGTGAGCCTTCTCCTGCCTAATTGGATTCATGCCCCCTGTGATACTTGTAGAAACATCATCCCAAAACATGTCAGCCTCCATATAATTTAGAATGCACCTTCCATCATCCCTGGCCATAGCAGTCCTTTTGAAATGTAGTCCAAAATATCTGGAATGTGCCAAATTGAGGAAGGTTGTCACAGAACTTCACAATGTTGAAAATGAAACTGAGGGCATTCCCTTTATCACAAAAACATGTACTGGAATGCTGTATCATGCTTCTCACCCAGGACTTAGTATGAATTGTACCAGTTGTTCCATGAACAGATCCCAGAACGGTGTTGTTGCGAAAAGCAGAGTAGCTTCAGATATACATGCAGGTTGTGGAGGAAGGGGATGAATTTTCAGCTTCTTCCTTTATTTGTATCAGAACATTCTATATTTCAAAATCATGAACACCCATGAAATATAGTAAAACCAAAAATCAATTAAAATGTCAAGACAATCAGACTATTTCTGACCAGAACACACCTGAGTTTGAAATGTGTGCAGAAACTTTTCCTTGATTTCAGCCATCATCCAGGTGGTAAGTGTCCATGAAGTTGGGTCGGTTCAGTGCTGTTCCATGGTAACTCTTCTGGAAATGAAGGATTTGCCAACAGCCTTCACTTTTCATATGGCTTTGAGTTAAATAGTGGAAGATGCTCATCATGTTGTTTTTCTTTGTCTCTCTCTATAGGGACTGTGTTTTAATGGCACTGCTTTTCTTTTGTACTTCATTGCTGCCATTGTAGATGCATGTGCCGTCACCAAAGAATTGGATAGCCACAACTATAACAGCTGGGCAGCTTCTTCAGTAAGTAGTAATTTTTATCTTAAAACAAATAGATTTCATCATATGAAAATGCATGAACAGAGGAGGGACTGTATGTATATTCTAATGAAATAACACCAACAGTGGGATTTTAGAAAGCGCAGGTTGAAAGAGACATAGTATAGCTAGGCATCAGTATCTCACTTTTCCACTTGGAAAAATGGCCATGGTAGCCTTGTGTATGCTGTTTGGTTTATACAATACAGTGGTGCCTCGCTTAACGACGATAATCCATTCCAGGAAAATCGCTGTTAAGCGAAAACGTTGTAAAGTGAAATTTAAAAACCCATTGAAATGCATTGAAAACCGTTCAATGCGTTCCAATGGGCTAAAAACTCACAGTTCAGCGAAGATCCTCCATACGGAGGCCATTTTCGGTGCCTGTATAGTGAGGAATCCATCCCTAAGCACAGCAGGACCCATTTTAAGCACCCGGGGCCATTTTGAAAACCCGATGATCAGCTGTTTTTGATCGCCGTAAAGCGAAAATTGGTTCCCGAAGCAGGGAACTGATAATCGCTAAGCGAAATTCCCCCATTTAGACCATCGTTTTGCGATCACAATTGTGATTGTAAAAACATCATCGTAAAGCAGATTCATCGTAATGCGAGGCAATCGTTAAAGCGGGGCACGACTGCACATAAATGATTCTTAGATTTCTAAAAGTGAATTGGAGATTCAGTCTCTCCAATCTTTTTCCAGATTTGTCCTATGCATAAAGGAAAATTACATACACACACCTCATTCCATATTGACCTGATCTTTGTACATGGAATTGAAAGTCAGACTGAGTTCCCTGGGGTTACTGTTCGTGCAGTCATTGCACATACCCATAGTTTTAAAAAGGCTACTTTTTTGGATTAAAGCTCCCAGAATCTCAAGCTGGCATGGCCACCTGGAAACATAACTTTTCCAAGCTCTACATACATAGAGTGGCATTGTGAAAGGGTTTGTATTAATTAGTTAATTTAAGCAACTTGTTCATATGCTACCAAAATAGCAAGTATGTTACAAAGAGGTCTTAAGTGCCCTTGAGGAACTTTGCTTTTGGAATACTTGAAACATGCATATTATCACAACGATAAATGTCTTCTTACTCTTTGCATCTGTTGCTTCAATTCCAGTCAGAAGACCATTCCTCCCTACCAAATGCTTTGTGTTATTTATGCCTTAATAACTTAAAGGACACTTACTACAGAATATTCTGTGGTTCCACTTTGGCATAATTTTGGTCCTGGGCACGGAATTCAGTACAGTGGGGTCTTGACTTAAGAACGGCTTGAGTTAAGAACATTTTGACTTAAGAACCACTCTCATAGGAAAATATTGTCTTGATTTACATACTTAGATTTGAGTTAAGAACTGAAAAAAAACCATGTGGGAGGCAGGGAAAGTGCAAGATTTGAACTTTCAGTTAACTGTTGGCCAGTGAAAAGGGTGCCTGTCTGCTTCCTCACTCCTCCCAGTGTTTAGAGAGTGGATAGGGAGACAGTCTTCAGACTGCCTGGTACTGGACTGCCTGGACTGTATTTTCCCTGCCTTCCCTGAACCTTTCTTGACCTAAGAAAAAAAGAAACAAAATATCCCCCTCTAGTGGTCGAAGGCAGAATAGCAGCTTCCCATTAGTTTCTATGGACGGAAAAGAGCAGATATGGATCAAATGGTTTTCAATGCATTCCTATGGGAAATGCAGATTTGACCTGAGAACTTTTTGACTTGAGAACCGCCTTCCAATACGGATTATAAACCGAAAAAAACTGAAAAAAACCTTTCCTCTTTCAGAAAAAAGCATGTTTCTAGTCCTTCTAGTTGCAAGTCAGTAGGCAATGCCTGATAAAATCTCAGAATCTGTCGCCACTCCAGTACTTGAAGCTCACTGTGGATATTAGACACCAATGAAAAATTATTTTTCATGAACACTCTACTTTCATTGTGGTTCTGTTCTGCTGACAATGTGACATAAGCTCCAGTGGGCAGTAGTGACATAATAATTGCTTTCTAATTAATCATGGTTTATTAGACAAAACCTCACTTTTTGTTTGCATGTTCCTACCTCCTCATTTGTGTTGGAATTCAAAATTTCCAGGACTTATTAAACTATATTTTCCAAATGAAGAAATTGTTCTTTAGTCTCCCTTAAAAAACAGAACAAAGTGTCTTGATACCAGAATAAAGAGCAATATATTTGAATTGATTATTATTGAATTACATTGAACTAAATGTTTGTTCATGTGCACCTAACTAATCATGTTTTGAAATGCTGAATAGTTCAGTATTTTAGTATCTGGCTGCAGAGCCAGAAGTTATGAGTTGATTCCTTGCTGTGTCTCTTCTAGCTCTGCAGTTCTAAGATTACAGGATTATCTACGATTATTATTCATTTTACATTCATACATATTTTTCTAAGTAAATAAGCATTTTCATTGTTAGAACTTTTAAAAGTATGGGAAGAGAATGTTCGCTGGAGAAGTACAGTAAAGGGGTGTTGAATTTAAGATTGTGGTTGTTCTGTAAACATAGCTTCTGCTGAAATGGCCCTATGTCAGGAGGTTGTTGAATATAATTTCTTAGAATGGTGAATATCTGGCAGAACCAAATACCATAAATTTAGGCATGCAAACTACTGAATACTCAAGATTCAGAACTTCTTAAACACAATTGTAGGAAATAGTTTGAAAATTTATTTCAATTTATATTATTGGCCCTTCCTTAATCTTCATATGTGTGCTGAAACCAGGAAAGGTATTGCTCTCCTAGCAAGTTAGGTAGAACCATGTGACTCAGCACCAAAGTCAAAGATTTAAAAAAATATAGTTGTATGCCATGTATTATCTTTGAGGGTAATAAAATTCTGCTAAGTGAACGCTGCTATGTTCTAATAAGATCTTCTCTCCCTCTTTTTCCTCTTTACAGTTCTTTGCCTTCATTGTCACTGCCTGCTACGGTGGAAATGCCTATTTTAGTTTTGTATCCTGGAGAACACAGACCTTACAATAAACATTTTAGTCAATAAAATAAAAGCAGATGTGTAGATGTAATAGGTTATTATTACATGTGCATGTGAATTCCCTCCACTACTTTGTTTTGGGTAAGCATGTTCTGTTGTGGTATTCATATCACAGGTACCAGAAACCAGGAAGCATAGGAAGGAATTGATGCATGTGACAGAGGAGGAAAAGGAGAAAGCACAGAAGCCTTTCTCGTGTTTTCAATAACCAAAACATTATTTAAACTGAATCCAGGGGTATGATGGGGTGACTTGCAAAATAGGCACGTATATGGTAGAAGCCTTGCAGTATAATCTGCCAACATCTATTCTAACCTAAACTCTACTTAATTCAGCAAAACTTGCTCCCCAGTAACAGCGTTTGGCAAGCTTCCCCAAACTAGTGTTCAACAAATATGGGATTATAACCCACATCATCCCCAGCCAGCTGGTCCTACTGGCTGGATATGATAAGGGTTGGGGAGGGCTGGAGCATAGCATTAACACATTATTGAATGGCAGTATCTTGTAAATGATTAAAACAAAGACCTATTTAAAAATAAGCTGTTGCTTTTGTGGCAGGAAGCATCCTGTCTTTTGTTTGTTTAAGTATTATGGTTTTGATCCAGTTTTACTCATAATAGACCAATGAAATCAATTAAACTTAATGGGATTTAGTCAACCTTATTGATTTAATGTCTGACCCAGTGACTGAAATCCAGCAGTAAATTGCAGCTAGAGTAGTCCTATTGAACTAATGGGGATTTGGTGAGTCATCTCCTCCATTAGTGCTATTGATTCAATGGGCCTACTCTAGTGACAATTTGCTGCTGACTAGAACATTTTATTTATATTTTTGTATTAGTTGATATTTCAGTAGAAAAGTGTGTGTGTTTATGTGTATATATGTATACACTGCTGTTTACAAAATGTTTATGAATCCATTGTTGTTTTACTTTGTAAATGTAGCTGTTCCTACCAAATCCTATATATATTTACCCAGTGGCAGGAGTGGGAGAAATCCACTTTGTTCAGTGGAAATTTTTCCCCAGGGAAAGTGAGATAAAATTTCAGCTTTAAAGCATTTGAATTGAGTGTCACAGTTTCAGTAATAAAATAAGAATAATTCGTAATGGGTTGGATGCACTCTAAGTGAAAGTGATCAAATCTAATATGACTAATATTGTGTACCTACTAAATGAAGTTGTGACAACCTAAGCCAAACTACTACAAGCCTGGATTTCAAATTTTATAGAGGATATTGCAAAGGTGGAAAAAGTGCAGAAAAGCACCACCAAAACTGCGAGATCAACTTCCGAGCAAGGAAAAGCTGCAGCATTTGGGACTGTTTAATTTAGAATAAATGGAACAACGGGGAAATGCAGTATAATACAGGTATATAAGAACAGGCATAGTTTGGAGAAAGTGAATAGAAAGTTGCCATGCCTCTATGAATACAGGATCACCCAGTGAAGCTGAATGGTGGGACATTCAGGAAGAACAAAATAAAGTTCAAACAGTAATTGTTAATGGAATTAGCTTAAAAACTTAGATGACATTTTAAAGTGGCAGAAGTTAGGTTCATCTGATGGCTGCATATTATTTCCAAAGATTGTTGGCCATCAGTTTCTTAAGACCAGTTGCTGGGAAACACCAATGGAGGGGTGCTGTTGTGCTCTTGTCCTGCTTGTAGGTTTCCCATCAGCGTTTGTGTGGCCACAGTGGGATCAGAATCTGGGAATTGATAAGCCCTTGATTTCATTTAGCAGGGCTTTTTTTGTTTGAACTTCCTACCAAAAGCTAGGGGATCTTAACTTACTCTTGTATAACTTCTCACACTGAATTAAATGGTACCTTTTTACATGTTAGTCTGGGACCCAAAAAAATATTTTTACATTTATGAATGGGATGCTTTGGTGGGAATCTCCCACTTAAAAACCAAACTGTACACAGTCCTGAAACTTCAGAGCTTTTGATGATACTCGCTTTGTAGAACTTCACTGTATCTAAAGTAGCATGGAAGAAAATACTCAGCCTCAGGTTATTACAGCAGAGTTCTCAGAATGACTGGTCTGCCTAAAACTGCAAAAAGCCAACATTAAGTTGTTCAGAGATTGCTATAGTGGAAGCTGATGGATGAAAATGACTAGCAATGGAATAATTAAGATATTAATCAGAGTGAATCCTTTTAAAAATTAATGGGATAGGTAATCAGCATTCATTAATACCAAGTTTTGAATGTTAGCAGTATTGAAAAAGGAATTGATTTAAAGAAATGATTAAATTACTAAATCAAATTCCTATTAAGTATGTTTACCACTACATATTTTGCTACCTGAGCCAAAGGATGAGATAGTGCCTCTTCCAACATTCTCAGGAACTTTATATTTTTGAATAATTACTCTTATTTCAGTCAAAACGTACAGACCAGAACTTTACTAGATTTTTACTCTGGAGTTAAGTGAAACTGCATAAGTTGTGGTGGCAAATTGCAGCTATCCAGCAAGGTGCAGGTGACATACCTGATTGTGACACTCACATGACTGGGTATGTGACCAAGCACATTTCCAACACCTTGTTAACCCATTGCAATTAGTCATTATGATTTAACAGTTTCACTTACTCCAGAATAAAATCCCAATAGGATTCTGGCAATAGTTCTAAACTTGCTAACAAACAAGTTATTCCTTTACTATAAATTTGTCCAATGGTGACATTACTATATACTGTTCTGATTTAAGAAACAGGATATAGAGGAAAATGGTTATAATTTTCTCTTTACACTTCTAAATCCATTCACTAGGATTCCTAGGAATCTTTAAAAAGTTACTCCATTTCTAAATATAACAGTATTTCCATTGAATATTTTGTATAGTATTAAAATTTGTATTCTGTGTAAATGTTTCCATGTACACGAAACTTAAAACATTATTATTATATTTATAGTGTTCTTTATCTGACTTGCTAACTTTCTTTCTTCGTATCAGTGCATTGCACAATTTAAATTTCTGGATATGCAGTATATGAAATATAAGTTCAGACACTTCCAAATGTTCAAATTACTGTATTAGACTTTTTTTGATCAGAAGTGGACTACTTCAATGGTGCTATCTCAACCATTTACTAGATCTTCTTTGGTACATGTACTAAAGTGGAGATGGTGAACTGCCAACTGGAACAATATTTCACAGAAAGGAATAAACTCAGTGTTTTTTAAAGGTAGAGCTCATGCAACCGTATCAGAAAATCTTTAACGGGAAAGGAAACTGTGGTTTAGTTCCACCTGCTTTAAAAAACACTCTCAATACACAATGTGTACGTGCTAACAGCCTTAACTTCCTCACAGAAGGTTTTTGAGAGCCAGTGTCTGAATAACTTTTAGGTCCAAACTGCCTAATTTAAGAAATCTCCGTAACTATTATCTGCTTCAAATTGAGTCATATAACTTGTCATGCAACAAATAATACCTATGGAGATTTCCTGATTTATGACAATTGATATTGAAAAGCTACACTTTTGCATAATTTTGCATCAGGGTTTCAGCCTCGGTGGTTTAACAGGTAGTTTGCTGAAGCTCATGCTAAGCGGCTCCAGGTTCAAATCCCTTCTCGGTCTCAAGTATGTCACATGATTGCTAGGGAGATAAAAAGTACCATCCCTGATCACTTTTGAAGGAAGATAGAGCAAAATTAAAACATATCTATGTATACTGAAATGAAAAAAAGATCTGCAAATTCAACAAACTGCATATCAAATTAAACATTTTATATAATTTGAGCCAAGTCTCTCAGACCTGGAACTAGTTTCAAATGCTAAAACACAACTTTGTGTGAATTAAATTTTAAAGACTTAGAAAAATATGGAAAGATAAGTGTGAAGTAAGCTTAGTAAGAAGCATATCAACAAATGTAATAATGACATATACTGTTCTCTATCACATTCTGTATTATTTTATTTTCTCCAATACCCTGATCCAAATCCCCTTCTCTATAATCTTCCCTTACATAATGGGAAATGGTTTTTAAGTGTCTGTCTCTCACACACATCCTCCATAGTTTTTTCCACAGTAACAGCCAAACAAGCACTCTTGCTATTACAGTCATCTCCTTAAAAATGATTGAAAGACCTATTGCACTCTAAAAGGGAAGTGTCTTGACTCACAGAATACATATCAAGAACAAATCCTGCCAGACTAATCTTATCTCACATTTTTAATTGGTAACCTCCCTGGTAGACAGTGGGAATGCTGTATATGTATCTTGGTTTCAGAAAAGCCTTTGACAAAGTGCCCCATTGTATTCTGATTAGCAAGATAGTGTGGACTGGATAGAACAACTGTAAGGTGGATATATAGAGCTGGTTACAAAAATGTATTCAAAGAGTGCTTGTCATTGGCGCCTCCTCAAACTGGGAGGAAGTAACAAGTGGGGGTACCACAAAGCTCAGTCCTGGGCCCAGTGCTCAACATTTTTATTAATGACTTTGATAAGGGAGTGCAAGGAATACTAATCAATTTCCCCCAATATTGGGTGGAATAGCTAATAACTTAGAAGGCAGAAACAAAATTCAAAAAGATCTTGATAGGCTTAAACACTGGGCTGAAAACAACAATTAAATTAACAGATAAATGCAAAGTTCTATACCTTGGGGGGGAAAACATGCATGGTTACAAGATGGGGGACACTCGGCTCATACTACAAGTGAGAAGGATCTTGGAATTGTACAGTGGTGCCCCGCTAGACAATAACCTCGCAAAACGACGAATCCACATGACGATGAGTTTTTGCGATCACTATAGTGCTTCACAAAACAGTGTTTCCTATTGGCGATTTTCGCTGGACGATGTTTGAGTCCATGCTTCGCAGACTGTTTTTTGCAAGACGACGATTTTAACAGCTGATCAGCACTTTGTAAAATGGGTGTTTTCAGGACCAGTGCTTCTCAAGACAGCAATTTTAACAGCTGATTGGCGCTTCACAAAATGGCTCCCCTATGCGCTATTTTCACAGAATGACAACAATTTTCCCCATTGGAATGCATTAAATGGATTTCAATGCATTCCAATGGGGAAACGCTTTTAGCAAGACGATGTTTTCACAAGACAGCAATTGGAATGAGTTAACATCATCTTGCGGGGCACCATTGTAGCTCAAAACCTGAGTATAAGCCAACAGTGCAATGTGGCTGCTGCAAAAGGCAAAACTGATTTTGTAGTGCATTAACAGAAGTATAGTCTCCAAATCTCATTAGGTGCTTGTCCCTCTCTATTTAACACTAGTTAGGCCTCATCTACAGTACTCTGTCTCGTTCTGGCCCCTGCACTTTAAGAAGGATGCCAACAAATTGGAACAAGTTCAGAGGGCAAAAAGGGATGATCAGGTGACTGGAAACCAAGCCCTATGAGGAAAGGCTGAAGGAATTGGGTATGTTTAGCCTTCAGAAAAAGAAGACTGAAGGGAGGTATGATAGCACTTTTCAAATATCTGGAAGGATCATTCCAGAGTGCAAGACACAAAACAGTGGGCTCAAGCTACAGGAAGCCAGATTTACAATGAATATCAGGAAAAGCTTCTTAACTGTTAAAGCACTACAAAAATGGAACCAATTACCTCAGGTGGTGGTGAGTGCTTCAATACTCTCGGCATTCAAGAGAAAATTGGACAACCATCTGTCAGATCTGCTTTGATTTGGATTTCTGCATTGAGCAGGGGGCTGGACTTGATGGCCTTATGGGTCCCTTCCAACTCAATTATTCTATGATTCTGTTTCATGTTTTATATAATAATATGCAAGAACTGAGAAATCATCTTGAGGACAGGAAACTTTGGACGTCACTCATTCCTGGGGTCACCATAAGTCATACAATGGCACATAACACATGATTTGACGTAGTATAAGACAGCCTCTTTGATTTTATTTTTAGGTTGTCAAAGTTGGTGGCCTTAGCAGCAAATTCCATAACTGTGGACTATATGGTTAATTACTACCTTCTGTCCTGAATCTTCCAATTTACTTTCACTAGGGTCTCAAGCTTTAAGTTATATTAGCATAAGACTATAAAAATGTCTGCCAGCCATTTCACATAGCAGTAACAGTCAAGCTGCATGCTACAAAGGAAAATTAAACCAAATAATTTGTATTTAATAGTGTTTGCATTACTTTTTAAAACATATGTAAGATATAGGATATACATTTTAAAATAAGGCATGGATTTTTGAAATTGGAGAGTGAGGTAACTCTTGTTAAAATTTTATTAAAGTAGGCTGAAATGATTGTTATGCTGAGAGAGAGAGAGAGAAATACTATTTACCTAGCCTTGCCAGGCTTTGAGATATTAAATAGTGTTCTGATCCCATGTAAGGTATTCATAGTAAAGATGTAACAATAACATTTGTATCAAATACAATTCTTCAGGGGTATGTGATATACGTATCTGCAAAAACACATACTGTATCAGAGAATTAACATTTCCAAATATTCTATTGTAATATTCAGGACCTGAGTTACATTAATGAAAATAAGTATCTTGATATTAAAGATGCAGTGGAATACATTTTAAAAATTTGATTAGAATTCCTCTCATACAGTTAACTAAAAGGTTTAAAAGCAAGAATAAGCTACACCTTTATTAGACCACTTAAAAATCATAAGCAAATGTAAGCTTTTTACAGGACTGTCAGGCCGGAGACCTTTGTGTTATGAATCATGCAGAAAAAAAACATTTAAAAGTTCCAAAATCATGGCAGATGTCCATGCCAGTGGTCGTTCTTAAAAGCAAGTTTCAAAATATGGGCTACAAAGGCAAATTGTGTGTGTAAGGGAATGGCTACAATGGCATTTGTCCTGCTGTTTAGTCTATGGAGGAGATGGGCTGGTTTGCTCTTTTTGCTGGTGACTAGATGACATTAACCACAATGTCCAGAGAGCATTCTTATCTGCATCTTTCGGGCTCCTTGTTAGGAGCTACTCTGTTTCAGTTGTAAGCAGGATCGCTGTTTTTGTTCATTTCTGGCATGTGTGATTGCTGGGGTAGAACCATATTGGATCTTGTTGTTTTAAATTTCCTATGTGGTTTCAGTTTCCTAGTATTGTTAAGTTTAGCACATTAATGATACTGGAAAATCAAAAACTCACTCTGCTCTTCCACAGAGGAGGCCCCTTCATGAAAGGACAGAGGAAAGAGGCAAAGGTGGGGGGTTGTTGTTGTTTTGTTTAGCCTATTAGGCTAGCTCTGATGTGCTGTACATTTTAGATAAAATTTTAAAAAGTGAAAGTTTCCTTCCAGAAAGAGGAAGGGCCAAAGAGGGGATTTTTGTTTTTCTTTTCTTTCTTTTCTTAAGAGATGATGGGCCAAAATAGGTCACTTGAGGTGCATATGCCATGTGAATGTAAGGATCATACCAACTGGCATACTGGACTTCTATGTGACCTTAAGTGACCCTAATTAGCCAGATCCAGCCCAGTCCTGTTGAGCCACCTAGCCAAGCCCTAGATTTCAAATTCCACCCCTGGAGTCAGGAGTATACGTTTCAAATTCCACCCCAGCGGCCATTGGTTTGTCTCTCGGTTTGACTATCCTTTCATTATCCTCGCATTTAACAAGAGATAAATTAAGATTTTTTTTAAAAAAAAGTCCCAGTAAAATATTTTGTTAACGTTAGAAATTTAACATTTTGGAATGTAGCTGGTACTACTGAAAGGAAACCCACTTTACTGTTTTGCACATCTACTTATTATAAATATCAATAGTCTTGAAATAGCAGCCCAGTCTTGAGACAAACTTTGAAAAGGATGCAAATCTATAATATTAATCTCTAAAATTTATCAGATATTAGCAAGGGGTTCCCCAGACTGCAGTTTCATGAACAAATGGAAACCAGTACCAGTATGTACATCGGGACAACCAACATGCCATAGTGTAAGAATAGTCCAGTTTTACACCCCATCAAGTAGTAGGGCTGGATGTGAATGCGGGCAGCTTTCCCTACGGGCATCCTGTGACTCAAAGCAGTCTCCTTGGCATCATACCCACCACCTTGGGTTTCCTGCCTTCTCTACACCAACTAAGGAGCCTGATGGAAGAGTTATGAGGAGCTCGAAAACTTCCACACAATTCTGTGCCCTTATAGCTGGTTGCAGCAAAAGGTAGTAGTTTAACAGATGCTACCTATTTTTTCTTCAAGGCAGCAACTTTTCCTTTGGGACGGGGGTGGGGGGAGCAGTAGGAATTGTTGGCTACCACAGCAGCCTGCAGATGGAAATAAATACTGTCTTCAGAAGAGGGCTGAGACCATCAAACACTGTAGCCTCGAAGTAAAACGCTTCCCATTCCCCGGCCGGTCCTTTTAAGGGGAAGCCGTGTGGGCCATACAACAAATTCCAAAATCGGTACTGATCTGTTGCTTTAGCGAAGTTCCAGTGTCTCAGGGCAAGAAAGACAAATTCTTCTCGCTGCTGCTGCTGCCGCCGCCGCCGCCGCCCCCTTCCTTCCTGTTTCA